GAAATGTAAAATTAAATAATAATAATAAGAAGAAGAATATACAATTAAAATCTGGCGCATTTCGCTGTGCGTAAAATTAATTCGAGGACATTGACTGCTCGTACTTAAAATAATTTAATATAATTTAAGTATCGAAGAATGCATCGACGAGACCGGTTTTCGGTAAAACAGAAGGGTCACGATGTCAAGAATGAAAATATTGGGTTGGCAACTAAGTAATTGCCGATTTGTTCAATGAAATAAAAAATTTTTTTACTTGGAATGAAGTTTAATCTGTAATGTGTGTGTGTGTGTGTATTTCCAATTTTGTTCGATGACCTTTTGCCATCTCTCTGACAACTTGAAAATTCCACGCTCGTAGAAAGTCTGATCCTTTTCGGCCAAAAACTGAGTTAAGTGAGATTTTACAGCGTCGTCATCGTTAAAAGTTTTACCACGAAGGGAGTTGTCCAGGGATCGAAATAAGTGGTAATCCGATGGCGCGAGATCAGGGCTATATGGTGGGTGTAACATCAATTCCCAACCAATATCCATCAATTTTTGCCGAGTGGACAAAGACGTGTGCGGCCTAGCATTGTCCTGGTGGAAAATGACACCTTTACGATTGACCAATTTTGGTCGCTTTTCCTTGACCGCTGCATTCAATTTGTCCAGTTGCTAACATTCACGGATAATAAAAAATAACATAATAATAATAATAATTTTATAATATAATGACAATAATATAATATAATAAATGTAATAATATAATATAATATAATAGATGTAATAATATAATATAATATAATAGATGACATCTATAATTGAAATCGGCAATTACTTAGTTGCCAACCCAATAAAAACTGCATCGTAGTTGAAGAATCGGTCGCGAAGTTCATGGTATCGAAATGCACGACAGAAGTCCGCAAGTGCAACGCACCCGCCCTTGTGTTCTCATGCGGGTGTCACGATAACACAGCCGGCGAGCACGTGTTACGCAAGAATATTAGTCGCAAACGGTGCGGTACCAACGAGAACGAGGCAACGGGCCGATCGAAGAACGACGGATCGATGTCCGGAGCAGTTCGTCGGCGAACTTTTCCGAGAACGCTGAACGCGACAGGACGCAACACCGTTGCGACTTGCGACCTGCGACACGCGCGGCGGCGTCGCGTCGCGTCGAGACGTCGGGACTCGTGGAAATGTCGCACGTGGTCGCCGACGATAAAAGCAATACCTGCGCTCCGTTTTTCCCCAGGTAATCGGTTCCTCGAACAGAAAAGCCAGTCCGACGCGGAATCGATTCGAACGACTGCGTAATCAACGTCTACTGTCTCCGGCGACTTCCACCCCGAGATTTCATTGAACCTTGGACGACGGCTGGCAATGTCTAGGTCCGACATTTCAGACATTGTTTCTTGATCACCGGATTGTTGAGTATCGCGTGCTTTTACAGTAATTTCTCCCCAATTCGCGCTCAGATTGCGCACAAAAATGTGTACGATTGTTCGAGCCTCGCGGCTCGTTTTTATAGATACCGATGGTTCACAACTGTGAAAAGGAGCCGCAAGGCTCGAATAATCGTATCTCCTCTTCCCGAATTGTCCATCTTTGCGCGCAGTCCGAGCGCGAATTAGAGAGAAATTACTGTACTTCAGAAATATTTCGAACGATTCGAGCCGTTTATTTTGGAAGTGGCATAAGTCACTTTGTTTTTAAGTCGATATATTTAAGGGTTTGCGTTTTAACACGTTTAAAAATATGGATGCTAACTTTCGAGAAGATTTACTTGTATTTGTTATCTCAGGATACTGGTATTTTTCTCAGTATAAATAATGTCGTATAAACATTAAAAAATCACCAGTTTTCATTACGGTTAAGTGACTTATGCCACTTTCAAAATAAACGGCTCATTTATTCTTTACTGTTTTCTCAGCAACGAGCTATATTTGTACGTATTTTGCGAGGAAGAGTAGTTCAACCGTTTGGCTGCAGACGTATTGTTTCGGACATATGCCAAAACTGCGGCACTAATTGCGCGTGTATGGGAGAAAATGTAAAACACTTTTCATACAATAGACTCACTTGCATTGCTTTGCTACAACAACAATTAAAAAATACCACTTATTTACATAAATTTGTTTTCATTAATTTTGCGAATAAAGTTGGTAATAAACACTTATAATTCAGTCAAATTAACACCAATAATTTCTTATGATCTTCTACACGGATGGTTTGCTATACAAAGCGCGTGAATTCTCTTTTTACAAATAGAGCAAATTAGGTTTAACTCTTCTACCTGATTTAGAGCAGCGTTATTACGCTCTCCGCAGTCTTGGCATTAAAAAAAAGAACAGGAGCGCTATCGCGCTCTTCGCATTTTTGGCACAACATAAGAAGAGCGCGATGGCGCTCCTCAGCAGTCAAACGGTTAATCCATTACCCGCCGCAATTCAAAAATTCGAAAAAAAATTAAATTGAGATTATTAGTTTCAACCTGAAGTTTACAATGATTTCAAACAAAATAGCGGCAATTCATAATACTTTCATGGAGCATATGATATGCTCTCACTATTTTAATGCATTTTATTGTATTTTAATGTATATATATATTTCATTTAGAAGTTGCAGTCTTTAAAAGAAAAAATCTGAAAAAGTGTTCCAAAAATGGGACATTGACGGATAATGGGTTAATTCGAACCAGCGTCTATGTGCAACCAGCTTGTGACACGACAAAGTGAACTATTGACAGGATTGTTATAGTAGAACCTCGATGTCTAAACTTTCAATCACTTTTATCACGTATATTAATCACTTAATCGCGTTTATCACGTGGATCAAGCTCGATCCAAGGCCATCAACACATTATTTATCGCATAAATCAGTAAAAACGTAATTTAACACGTTGTACGCCGCGTCGGTCACATATGGGCGACACTAATTTTTTACCAATTTTGAAAATACGTTTTCATTGTAATATTTGACTAGGACGATTAAACACACAGTTAAACGCATGGACAATGTAATGCTTTTCTCTAAAGCTCGCAATTTCACACGTGAACGTGTAATACAAAAAAATAGAAATCTTCTCAATTTATATGTAAAACTTTCCTTTTTATACGAGTTTTCTCTTTCTTATATGATGCCACGAAGTACTCCGTTCGGCATAGTCGAGTTTCAGTGAATTTGATTAGGATGTCTCGGATGCGAAAGAGTTCTGATGTCTTCCGCTACGATCAATTCTAACTTTCTAGTTACGGTTTAATTGATTTAATTGCTTCGACTTTGTGGGAATTTCAGTGACTGTGATCGTCGGCCTTGTTAACACTGTACCAAAGTAACCGTCCTATTGCAGTTGTATCGATCGATTGTGAACCGTGAGTCCGATTCAACCATGTGACTCGGAGAAGAAAAACGCGAGCGTTTAAAGTATCATTTACCGATACTAATTGGCACTGAATTCCACATTATGCTCCAAATTTCTTTCCCGTCTCTATAAAATGCTAAAAAGCCAGCAGATGAATCCCACGGAGAGCGAGAACCTACCGAAGCCAGGATTACGCTCGCAGCCGGAGAGAAGCAAAGAGACAAAAGCTGATATCGTAGCTTACAGTGGGTACAGTTGCATATCGGAAGATGTATCGAATCAGCATCGCTTTGAAACGGGACGCTCGCTACCTCGCCCTTCGTCCTCGTCGCGCCGCGCCGCGTCGCGCCGCTCCGTAGGAAAGCGGATTCCGAGAGCCGAGCGCCTGTCCCGTAATCTCTTCCGCGTAATATACGTGTATATCCGGCGGGGGCAGGAGGCAGGAGGCAGGAGGCAGGAGTAAGCCTCGGATAGGGTCGCCGACGAGAGAGCAGGAGCGAGAGGGAGAGCGAGAGCGAGAGTGCTCGCGCTGGTGAGCGCAAATAAAGGCTTCTCGGAAGACAGGTGAACGAGCCGGGAGGCAAACGAGCGCCTTTGTCCTCGCGAGGGAGAAGGGAGCGGCTCGGGCCCTTCGCGGCCCGGCCGAACAGCCGCTTTTTCAAAGCGCTTTTCGATCGCCGCCCGCTAAAAAACACCGCGACGCGACGTGCCGACAAAATATTTGCGAGATTCAATTGCCAAAGACAGTCGGCCTTGGACCAGAAGACCCACCGCCTTTCGAGGATTTAGGTTCTTTTTTTTGCTGGAATATCGCCGACCAGAGTAGATGTCCCAATGTCTGTGTCTTTATTCAATCTTTGCTTCGCCGAGGCTGTCATTAAATATAGAGTATTTAATTAGAAGCTTCATTTAATTCGTTAGAAATATGGTCTCGATTTTTCAGATATTTCAGTTTTTAGAAATATTCTTTGCTTGAGAAAAATTTTTAATTTAATATTGTTGTGAATGAAATAAAAAAGTAATGCTTTTGACTCTAATTCTGTGTCCTTTCAGAGGCTCTGCGCCTAATTCTGTGCCCCCCACTACGTTTAAACACATGGACGATGTAATGCTTTTCTTTAAAGCTCGCAAGTTTACACGTAAACGTAATAAAAACAAAATAGGAATCTTCAATTTATATACAGGATGTCCCAAAAATGTCTCGCAACCTGGAAATAGCGGGTTCCTCGGATCATTTGAAGCAGTTTCTTCCTTTACAAAAATGTTCTCCGAGGCACCGTTGACGAGTTATTAACGAAAAACCGTGACCAATAAGAATCGAGTACGGCTGACGCGAGGCGGCCCAGCCAACCAGCGGAGCTCGCCTCTCATTGGTCACTGTTTTTCGTTAATAACTCGTTAACGGTGCCACGGAGAAAACTTTTTTAAAGGAAAAAGTTGCTTCCAATGGCCTGAGGAACCCGCCACTTTCGGATTGTGAGACATTTTTGGGACACCCTGTATAAAACTTTTCTTTTTATACGAGTTTTCTCTTTTTTATATGATGCCACAAAGTACACTGCGTTCGGCATAGTCGAGTTTTGGCGAAATCGTATGCTCTTCTTTCGGGTCGATTTGCGAATGGATCTTAACAGATCTGTTGTTCTCGTTCCAGGTACAAGGATAACAGGGCCTATCCGTGGCCAGGCGGCGAGAGTCACTTCATCCTGTATCCGGAGAGCGCGAATCAGACAATTTACACCCAGAAAGTGAGGGCCTCGGACGCTGGCAGATACACCTGTCGTGCCAGAAACGACACGACCATCCTCGAGGGAGACATCACTCTTGCGGTTCTTGGTAAGTTCCTTCCCTTCTCTCCTTGACGTCAACAGACGGCCACGTCTTTTCAGACAATTTTCTGTCCACGAGACTTCGTCGCAATTTACTTCGCGGTTTTCGGACCTTTTCCGTGTCGCGGGCTCTCTTCTTTCAGCCAAGTCGGAAGATCTTCAGCTTCTTGGCCAATGTCGCAGCCCGCTCGCGTAGACGTTGTGTCGGGTGTTTCTACCGTTTCGCATCTACCGTTATCACAATTCCCCACTGTTCTCGAAGCTCGAGCTTTTACGAATTTGAGAAGCCGGCGTAAAAACATGCGAGACGCGACGACCGGAGGCTGAAATTTTAACGCGCCGCATCAGAGAACTTAGAATTTTAATGAAGCTTTTTGAAAACGTTGCGAGCAACATTGTGTTCCCGGGAACCGTTCCCGTAGAGATTTTCGCGTCCCGCGCGCTTCGCGGTCTCGCCGACCGAGAGCGAAATTATTCCGGCGGTTGAATGATGAATGGCCGGTCTTGATTTCGGAATGGGGACCAGACCGCGACTGTTTTCGCTGGCTTTCGCATTCCGCGGGGCCATTTCCCCGCGGGTACCGGGCATCAAAGGGAAATTTATCTCGTAACGGGCACGCTCGTTTTCGCGAAACCGAAAAAAAGCTATTCCGCGGCGGGGAAGAATAATGCCCGTGCGGGGGCGGATGAAGTCGGCCCCGGAAGCCGATGGAAATTGCGGGGAAACGAGGCTGTCGCGGCCGCGACAGAGACGGATGCCTGTAACGAGAGGCGGGAAGACGAGGAGGCCAGGAGAGGCTGAAAAATGGGGGTGAAAAACTCGGCGAACGGCCCTTGATGGCGGTTCGCCATCTTGGAATTCGGAGCACTCTTTCCGACGCACCCTCTGATGCCGTAATCGTCCCTCTGTCGAAACGTTTCCTGCGTTTATCCGTTCCTAACCGCGCTGGTTGAGCCGCCTGAAACCTGAAATATTCTCCTGTTACGATCAATGCTACGAGAAAATGTTTCGGATAGCAGTTGCATGGCTCGGAGATGCGTCATGTTTCCAAAAATTCTAAGATCCTTCCAATGTAGACAGATAATTTAATTTTTGGTAAGGTGTTTGGATCTTACATGTTTCGCACCTCTGCACACCGGTCTTCGGATTACTGTAAATTCTCTCTAATTGACGCTCAGTTTGGATACGAAAATGGTCAGTTTGGGAGAGAAGGTACGATACGACACCATAATTCGTTTTTATAGATGTTGACAATCGATTACTATACTATACTGCTACGGAAAGCTCGAATAATCGTATCTGCTCTTTCCAAATTTTTCATTTTTAAGTACGAGCTGAGCGTCCATTGGGGGTGGGGATAAAATATAAAAAATTATATATATTATATATATTATATTACATTATATTACATTACGTTACGTTACATTACATTATATTACATTAAATTACATTACATTACATTGCATTGCATTGCATTGCATTACATTACATTACATTACATTGCATTGCATTGCATTACATTACATTACATTACGTTACATTACGTTACGTTACATTACATTACGTTGCATTACGTTACATTACATTACATTACGTTATATTACATTACATTACGTTATATTACGTTGCATTACATTACGTTACATTATATTACATTACATTACATTACGTTACATTACATTACGTTGCATTACGTTGCATTACATTATGTTGCATTATATTACATTACATTATATTACGTTACATTACGTTACATTACGTAACATATTACATTATATTATATTATTATATTATATTATATATAATAATAATAATAATAGTAATAATAATATTAGATGATCCCAATAGATAATTCTGATATTGGAAAACCGGATATCGGGATTATCTTGTTAACGTTTATTTCTATCGGTGGTGCAATATTTAGTATTCTTTCTATTTTTATATCTCTTTTTATTAGTATTCTCTCTTTAGTGTTAAATATTTGTCAAACTCGCTCGATCCGATCGCCGCAGTTGATCCCCGACCCGACCCTATTCGCTCGGAATGGTTGGCCGCGAGAACGGGAACAGGTCCGCGGAATCCAGAGCCGGTCGAAAAGTTTCGCGGCGAAAAGGAGCGGCGTTGGCCGTAAACTGGGACGAGCGTGAGAGCGTAATTAATCGCGGCATGGTAGGAGGGCACACGCGAGATACCGTGAAACGGTAGAAATTCGTTCGAGGAACGGTGCTAATCACGTTTCCCGGAAGCGTCGGCGACAACGGGGCCCGACCCGACCCGGCCCGACCCTCGGCCCGGCCCCCGGCCGGGTCTCGCGAGTTATCTCTCGAGCCACGCGTCCGATAACCATTGTGCTTGGCGCCTCTTTCTTTATCGGGCACTTGCGCCGCCGCCGACGCCGCCGCCGTCGCAACCCCCGCACCACCGACCATTTAATTTCCAGGAAGAAGAATCGATTCGCGCGCCGGCTCCTGGAATCGGCCGCCTACGCGAACGCTTCGGAGACCGTGACGGCGACCGCCTATCGACCGGACGACCCGACTCGTCTCGACTCGCTCGTCTCGTCTCGTCTCGTCTCGTCCCGTATCGCCTCGTCGTTTCGCCGGAGGTCCGATCGGTGCTCGCGTTCGCCCCCGGCTTACCCTATCCTGTAAATCATCCCTGGAAACCGTGGCTCGCGGAAGACGAGCGTAAATAACCGAGAACGAAAGCAATTTTCGTTCTGCCCATCGATCCGACGCCCGCGCCGAATTCTTTCGTACCACCTTTCGGGGCCGGATTTCCACGGAATGCGTTCCATTTTTCTCGGCAGCATCGCCGTCACTGTGTTTTCACGCTTCAACCCCCTCGCTCTATCCTGATCCGTCGAGCTTCTCGAGAATCTGTAATTGTTGACTTTAGGACAGAGTTTCCCCGCGAGAGCAGCCTCTCCGCTTCGCCTCGCCCTCCTCTTTGACGCCTTTATCTACGGGATCAGCGACCCTTTTTCTCTTTTCCAACTCTTCGGGGGCCGCGTGTCTTCATTTTCCCTTCGGGATCAGCGTCGCTTCTTTTTTCATTATTCATGGCTGTTCGTCTTTATCTTGGCCAGGCGACAACTAGAGAATCTTTGCGCGGAATAAAACATCGCCCGCGCCGGCGAACGGCGGAAAATACATTTTCATTTCCGCCCTTTAAAAGCATGTCGCGCAGCATGGAAAACGATGGAACTGCGATCTTCGGCGAGATGCGTAAGATCTGCGATCCCTGCTCGCGTGTTTCCGCAGTCGCGTTCTGCTAACGCGAGTCGGTCTGTTCGCCTAACTGCCGAGAAACATTGCAGATAAATCACCGGTAAGATCGACGAAAATCGATGGAATCTGATCGAAAATAGTTCGATCTTGTCCCCGATCGAGGCCAGAGCCCAGATTCGACCGACGAGCGAGCTCCGAGAAATCATGGCAGCAGCGAAACCATTTGCCGATGGTCCCACAGAAAGAGCGCGACACGAGAACGAACGATCAGCGCCGGCGCGACCGTCTATGTGGGAACGAGGCCAGCTAATTGAATCAACCGGTGAGACGCGAGTGTCGAAATTATGTAACCGAAGGAAAGTGGATCGCGCCGGATCGGAGAACACGCATATCGGAGGGAGAGTCGCGGGTGCCCGGCCGCGAGCAGATCGCGAGCTCTGTCCGCTAATTGAAGGCGGAACACGTGAATTTTTACCGCCGTGCACTTTTACGACGTGGCCGAATATCTCGGGAGCGCTTCTCGCTCTGATTAAACGGACGAAGGCGTCGGACGTGCTCGAACTTTTCGACACGTTTACTAGCGACGAGCCGAGCGCGGACGGCGGGAGGCTCGGTACGAACGGCGCACTTTACCGGCAGCGAATATTGCATCGTAAAAAAGGCGCAGGCTGCTCTCTCTCTCTCTCTCTCTCTCTCTCTCGGAAGATAGATAAATAAATCGGCAGCACGCGCGTGAAACTCCCCGGGTGAAACCGATCCCGATGTTTACGAGGGCGAAGGCGGCGAGATGAGCATCCTGAATCCTGCCGAGTGCCGAGCACCGAGAGCCGAGAGCCGAGAGCCGAGCACACCGGCGTCTCGTAAATCGAACGATAAGAGGGCTAGATCGGGAGTTAACCCCTTGACGCACCTTCCACGGCATCGAGCGAGCCCGCGGACCGGAAGTCCAATTTCGGAGACGATTGCGCCCGACTGGCGATCTAGTTTGGTTATCCGGTCCGTATAGACTCGATGATTTACCCGTCAGCGAGGATAAATCGACTGCGACAACGGCTTCTTCTTTTCGCTCGACTTTTTGGAGTCGTCGGTTCGGCAATGCGTAAAAACGCGAACCGAACTTTCTCGCGATTTGCCTCATTCGCGAATGCAGCACGTCGATATGCCAAGTGGCTGGGAAACCTCTCACCTGTTTCCACGCTGCACTGTTCTTTCGTTCAAATTACGGGTTTCTTCTCGGCGCTTTTATATCGGTTATTTTCTTCCTTTTTTCTTTTTTGTTGCGAAATTGTGACTGACAAAATTGCGACGAATTTTTCGTGTATCTGACGCTACACGAAACTTTCGGTTATCTATCGTTGCACTGCGATCGTTCGATTGCATGCAGTGAGAATACAGGAGAATCGAAATATAAAATATTTAGTTCGACTCGATATTGTTTTAACTTCGACGGTGCTTCGGGAATTATTAACAAGCGAGACAGCGTGCTCGTTCTCCAATTTGATTTTTTACACCAGCGTTGCCTGGTCGTTGTCGCGATTTCTCTGTCACGGCTGCACCGATTGGAAATTCTTCGTCGTTAATCAATCCTCGCGAAAATGATAGCGATCGATTCCCGACGGTTTTCCAAAAGCATATTTTTAATTCTAAATTCAAAGTGACATTCTGACCTACGATATTTCCGCTTCGTACGACAAGACGGCTGATCTTCCTGCGGGAGAAAAATTGTCTAAAACTGGCGTGAGATAAAACCGTATTCCTTTTTTCGAGAATCTCAAC